TGAATCCTTCGCCAAGCGTATTTCATGTAGTTCACGTGAGTGTTATTTTGCAGCGAACGTTCGTGTTGTCTTTCAAACTAGGTCTGTACTTCCATCTATGTGTAAAGATGTTCTACCCCCCCACCATATTAACTCTGTTATTTACTATTTCAAATGTAGTTGTGGATGCGACTACATAGGTAGAACGACACAGCGGTTGGACGTGAGAATTAAACAACACGTACCTGCGATAATACTAAACAAAAAATTTTCTTCGGGCGATACCATTCGTAACACGTATGGGTCTTCCATTGCGGATCATTTTATAAAGAATCCAACTTGTGCGATGGATTTCAGTGTGAACTGGTTTTCCGTCTTGGCCAGTTCGCACTCACTTTTCCATCTTAAGGTGTTGGAGTCGCTTTACATCAGGTCCAGGCAGCCTTCTCTTTGCAAACAAAGAGATTGTTTGCTTGGACTTGCTGTTCTGCGCTTCTAGCAGCTTGGTTGGTATAATTTTATTTTTTTTTTTTCCTTCCCCTGTCCATTCATTCATGTCACCCATGACAGACTTTTTTCTTTTCCTCATAATCTAAATTCCCCGTTAACAGTTCTGACGAGAGGGGACGAAACCGGTCGACTGGTGTGTGTTTTATTTTAAACTTATCATGGCCTGCAATACAACATTTCTAGTTTTTAATGCCTTAATATATATATATATATATATATATATATATATTGTGTGTGTGTGTGTATGTGTGTGTGTGATAAAATATACTATTTGTAGAATAACAATAATAAACAGCACTTACTGGCGTAAGAGTCCCAGCTAGCGTCCAGCTAGCAGACAAAAATAAAGCAGGTTGTAACTTAATACAAACCATGCAAACTAACAGAGAAATCATGCTAGTATTTATATAGAAATACTTCCACTCAGGTACCAGCAGCCAATCACAGCCCAAGCAATGGACTATCCCACTTTAGCATAATGAGATGCACCATAAATAGCTCTCTTTCTCAATGTTGAATTAGTATTCACTCAGCTTGCTCCACAACTGAGTGTTTATCTTGACCACGTGATTGTTCGACACTATTAGGGTATGCTATATTTATAGTTAAATGTGAACAGTAATAGGGATAAAATAAAAGTCAGCACCGAGTGACGATAGTTTGTTTCATGAATGAACGCAAACATCAGGTAATATGGTTTGTGTTGCGCACCACTATTTACATATGCAGTCAATGGTGGATTATGTGTAGCAAGTTTATTTTATTATCCTAACGCTTACTGGGTAGATATTAACGGTTTTATTTCAAGGGAGGATAGTTAATAAAAATAATTGTGGATCCAAATAGGGTTAATCTTAGCTATTTTATAGTGTTGTTTTTACTCATTATTTATTGATAATTACTTATTATTATTATTATTATTATTATTATTATTATTATTTACTTAATTTGTTTATTTATTTAGATTTTTTTGTTTATTTTATTTATTAGTCCTGGAGATGACGATAAGCTACATCCGGCAGCAAAACCCTTGATCAGGGAATTAGAGGTTTTACAGAAACATGGAATCACTTCTTAATTGCTGTTGTTCCCAGTTCCACCCTGACTCGGGATTGTAGCACCTGTTAGGGCCCCAGCTATGGGCAAATCGTAACCCCCCCCGCAAACAAAATCAAAAAACACTATGCAAATATAAATATACATTTTTGTAGTAAAATACCAACAATTCGTTTTTTATAAAAAATTACCAAAAATACATATTTTTTATAAAAATTACCTACAATATATTTTATATGTAGTTGAAGGTATACAATTGCGCTTAAATTATATTTAAGTGAAGCTATAAAAAACACCTGAAATATTTAGATTCCGGCATTAAGTAAGACATAGAGTTTGATATATCGCTGAACAAAATCAACCAAAATCAACAATTTATTTTTTTTACTGGGTTCGGTAATATTATTTGTTTAATTTAAATATTAGCTTTGTCTAAAGAATGTTACTTTATCTACTTTGTATATAGTGCATATATTAAAAATTTTTATGATAGTATTTCACAAGTTGTTCGTTTTTTTGTTTTCGTAAAAGAGTAGTAAAATTGTTTTCATGTCAGCATTTTGACATATGTTCTAATAAGTGTGTAATTGTCTGGGAATGTGACTCTAACACATTTCTCCTCCAGAGAGAGTTTTTTTATTATTGTGGGCTGATGCTGTTTTCCATATTTTGCATGATATTTTGAGTATAATTTGGTATAATCATTTTAATTTCTCATGTATGTTTAGAAAGGGATGTGCTATTTGCGTATCTACTATTTGTAAATATTTTGTATGCGTGGTTTCTCTCCTTCAAGTGTACTTCATTTACTCTTACATTTTGGCTTCTTTATCTACTGATTTAATATATTATGTTGTTTTGCAAGTAACTGCCATTTAATAGACATTCTTTCTTTGCTCTGCAGTTACACGTGGGTGATTTGTGCGGATGGTTTGTTCGTTTTTTGTCTGTTCTGCATTTTTATATTTAACGATTTCGGCGCAACTGTGGGTAATTTTTTTTTTTTTTTTGTTATTGAATAACTCATGGAGAATACATGATTGAGGAAGTCGTTGCGTATCAGGTTAATTAATATTTTCACTACGTTTGTTTTTTACGCTTTTGTGAGTTAAACCATATGATGTTTGTTTTTCTGTCAACTCCTGTATTTTTGATAATATTTATGATTATGCTTCCGCTTTTTACCTTTTTTTTCTGTTACACTTTTTTTAGGGTGATTAAGACCGTCGTCCCTGTAGAAGCCTATATCCATTTTATCGATATATATATATATATATATATATATATATAGATAGATAGATAGATAGATAGATAGATAATATTAGTAGTAAATATACACATATATATGCAAAATATATAAATATATATACATAGATGCATACACATACATATATATTTTTGAATAAAAAATTCCGCGAGGATAGAATCCAGGTAGAACTCAATGTTCAGGACAGAGTAAGGATATAATAAAAAGGCTTAAACACTAATATTCCATGGTCATAATTTATTCCATTGGAATCGTAAATACGATCCAATTCATCAGACCTACAAATTCAAAAAGAAAACAGTAAAAACAATTCCGGAAATAAAAATAAAATTTAGAGAGAGTGTAAGTATGAGAGTGTGGGACGAATGTTAGAGCTAAAGAGAGGGGTAACAGACGAGAGAAGGTGGGAGATTAAAACTTAACAGAGAGAAGTTTTAGAGAGGTGAGTTGAAGATGGTTTAAGTGAGAGAAATATGAATGTTGTCGGATGTCTAATATATTAAAAATGTAACCGGAAAGGATACATTTTGTGGTAACATACACACGCAATAGACGATCTAATGTTAAAGATCAGAAGAGGGAGGAGAGGAAAAGAAAAGAAAAAAAGTGGGGGAGAGATGGGGTGGGGAAACTAAAACTGAAGGGCATTTACTAAAAGGGCCGCTGGGTAATTAAGAAAATTTGACAAAATTAATATCGACTACAGGTTACAAATCAAATATAAACATATAAAAAATAAATATAACGATTATCTAATCTAGCAAGGATCTATATCTTTATGTTCAAAAACACATGCGTATACACACATACATAATAACATATACACGTACATGAATACATATAGGCCTGTACCCACATATATATATATATACCTATGTACACACATAAACACACACACACACATATATATATATATATATATATATATATATGTATGTATATGAGAATATATATATATATATATATATATATTCTCATATACATATACATAAATACACATGTATATATATGTAGGAGTGGATGTGTATGGATATATGTGTATACGTATGTATGTGTGTGTATTTATGTATGTATATGTATACATGTATGTGTATGTGTGTGTATGAATTGGATTGTATTTACGATTCCAGTGGAATAAATTATGACCGTGGAATATTAATGTTTAAGCCTTTTTATTATTATTATTATATATAAATATATATATATATATATATATATATATATATATATGTGTGTGTGTGTGTGTGTGTGTGTGTGTGTGTGTGTGTGTGTAATGAGTTTAAAACTTTTTAGGGTCTATAGGGGAAATGTGTTCCGAATCAGAGGTAGAGCTTTTATAGTTGTAGGCTGTGTGATGATAGGAATCGACACTGCTTGGTGACTGCCAGTAATCAGAAAAAGTACCATGAATTATTTCGAAGCTAGATTTTGCAACGGGTTGTTTATGTGGGTCACGAGATGATTAATGGAATGAAATGAAGAAAAATGATCATTCACAGTTTCATTTGTTGAGGGTTGGGCTTTCTTTTGTTGAGGGCTGGGCTTCATTTACGATCATGACCCCTTGAATTCTTATTTATGCTGGTTGGGTGGTTACAAGATTTTATATTTACTTTTTTCTTGATGTTGTAATGGTGCAAAAAAACTGTTTTCATGTTAGTATTTATCTGAGTACTAAAAAGTTAAAGCATTAAATTTTATTACTGGATTCACTTCATATGGAATCCAATAATATATTTAATGCTTTGGATTCCTGGTAATGTTCATAATATTCCTTGATTTTTGTAGCGAAAAGGACGTCTTTCATATATTTTCGGACCGAATTTGAACGTAATACCTTTACATGATGTACCCTTTCCTACAGGTTTTATATTCCCAAAATTAATTCTATATATGTGTATGTGTGTGTGTGTGTGTGTGTGTTTTGAGGCAACCTTTTGTGAGTTAATTTTTTGTTTATTTGCAAAAATTTTACGAATTTCTTCTGAAATTATGTTAGGTATTTCCTTCTTTTTCCTCTCCACTCGAGACTTACTCATTAAGCCTAATTCCTGCAGCGTATGAGCTTCGTTGTTGTTTTTTTTTAAAAAATCTTGGACAGAAACGAATAGAAAAAATGTCTGATTTCCCGCAGGTACACAAAATACCAGGAAATAAATCAATTTTACTAAAACAGGACATTTTATGAATGTTCAGAAATTTAAAATCGAATTCACAAAATGAGGCGATAAACATTATTTTTGCAAAATATCTATCTATCTATCTATCTATCTATCTATCTATCTCATTCTTTTCATTTCTATCTACTTTAGAAATAATCTCTAATGTAGTGATATTCATCTTCTATGTCAATACAAAGATCTGTTTTTAGATTCAGCTATATTTTGTAAATAGTCAACTGTGCACCTACGGGTATTCAAGAAATTTGGTATGGAATATGTTACTTACATTTCTCTAATTCGGACTTTTCTTTCAAAGTTGTTTCTATATGTATACACATTCTTTTGGGTGTCGTGTCTCCTTAGGATGTTGGCGATCGTGTCTCTTCGCAATTTCCTTTTTGGTTTAAGATCAAAAGATAAATATGAGACAAGGGTTCAGAATTTCAGCTTTTATTTCCTGGTATTTACATTAAAATGTGTTAAACAACTTATGACATACCACCTTTTGTTTGAACCCCCCATTTTTCAAGTGAACAAAATTATTCGAACACGTGACTGACGGGTGTTTCTTTTTCCCGGGGTGTTGCCTTTTATATTGATTGTTTATATATTACGTAGCTCTGAATGACTACTCTTAGTTTTAAGCCTTGGGTTTCACTTGTAGAGACTGTATTTCTTGTTGAAAAGGATAAGCCAATATAAAGACGAGAGAGCTGTCTATGAGAGAAATGCAAGTGATTTTGAAGCTGAGCAAAGGAGGCAAATCAATCAGAACTATTGGAAAAACATTTACCATGGCTGATACAACAATTTGAAATGCTCTGAAAAAGAAAGAAACTATTGGTTTGCCGGGCAGCAGACATAGAACAGGTCGGCCAAAGAAAACAACAACAGCAGTTGATGACAAACACATTGGGAGATCTGTGAGGAAAAGACTAAAATAACAGTCAGTGACATCATCAAAAACCTTCACAGTGCACCGTTCGAAGAAAATCTTGGCAACATAAATATAGATATCTATACAACAAGATTAAAACCACCTATCAGCAGTAAGAATCGGAAGGCCAAATTGGAATTTGCAAGGAATGTTTTATGGACGGATAAAACCAAGATTAATCTCTACCAAAGTGGTGTAAAAGCCAAAGTATAGAGATGTTAAGGATCTGCTTATGATCTAAAGCATAAAAGATCATCTGTGAAGCATGACGGAGGCTGTGTGGCTTGGGTTTGCATGGCTGCTTCCGGAACCGGTTCATTCATATTTATTGATGATTTGTCGATTTACAGAGAAATGCATCCGAATCAATCGGGTAAAGAATTATCATGCAGCAGAAAAATAACCTACAATATACTCTGCCAGCACAACTAAGGACTTCCTCAGTGAAAAAAGTGGACAGTTTTAGACTGGCCAAATGCATCACCAGACCATAACTCAATACAGCATGTATTTCATCTCTTGAAGAGGAGCGTGAAAGGTCCGAAAAAGCATTACCAATGAAGAATGCAACAGTTGGGTGACGTCAATGGGTTGCATGTTTTATTCAGTTATTGCTAGCAAGTGTTATGCAACCAAATATTAATTACTTTAGCACAATCTGTTCCTTTCCTTTTGCTCACCTAAACATGGGGTGATCCGATATAAATGGTGGAATGTCCTAAGCTGTTTAACACATCTAAATATAAACAATAAGGAATAAATAAAAGCGGAAATTCTAAACACTTGTCTCATATTCATCTTTTGATCTTAAACCAAAATGTTTTCAGCGAAACAGCAAAAACAAAAGAATTGGCCTCGCCGTTCCAATACTATTAGAGGGAAAAGTATATACAACTTGAATGCCGCATGTATATATGACATTTTTAACCAATACGTTTCTTCGTAATGTTCAAATTTCGCAAGATATATTGGAGTCATAGATTATATACAAAATAAAAAGTAAATACGTTTATTATCGAAAGCTTTATGAACAATATCTGAAAAACACACGGATACACCATAAAAATATTAAGACAATAACAACATGCTATGCACAAATAAATGTCTGTAATTTATTATGAATCCTTTTATTAGTAATTTTTCTTCAATATCGACGGAAATTTTACTGTAAGTTTTTCTGATTCTGGTACATCCTTGGGAGTTTTTTTCCAGCATTAATTTGAAATTTTCACCCCAAAGCTGAAATAATCCTGAAGGTTATAGCAGCCAACAAATGGTATTTTACTTATACGCTTAGTCAACCATCACTGTTATTTTATTTTTTTTTAAATCATTTTCTCGTTGGAATATCAAGTTTCTAGTCATTCGGCGACATCGAGTCAAACTTTACAGACTATCTTTACGATTATCCACCTATATTGTTCCATCTTTCTTTTATTCGTAGAAGTTGTTTGGCATTAAATCAAACTCATCGCATAAGTGAAAAGTTCAAGCCCTTCAATAAAAGATGATATTTTTGGTAAATAATTCTGGTTCTTTTTCAGTAACTGTTGTTTGTTGATTTTCAATCATGTTGGGTGATAACTTGTCTTCTTCGCCTGTTGAAAATTTACGAGAGCAAAGAGCAAGCGAAAATAAATTCCATATTAAGATTCATTTCAATTTATGTTATTTTTAGGTTTTTTAATTTTTAGTGTGTATAAATTCAACAAATTATTACAATACTATTTTTATACCGATAGAGCCAAAGTAAAACACAAGTGTTTAGATTCTGAATGGGAATGATATATATATATATTGTCTCGCTAGTGGAGAGCTTTCTTATTTTTTTTTAAATAATAATAATTTAGTGATACATGTCTTACTAATTCAGCCCTAGTTTGGGGTGTGGAGAAGAGGTGGATTTCCCAAGGTTATTTGTGCGTAAATGACCATAACAAACTCGACTGGAATTGGAACACGGCTTTCCGAGCAACAACTCTGTTCCATCATCCATTACACCAATCGCATTTCTAAGCTTTACAAGACCTGATATTTTCAAGAGGATACCCATTCAGGTACTGACTAAACTCGACGCTGCTTAACTTCGGTGATCGTACGCGAACCGTAAGCTTCATATGCATTTATATATATAAATATACATGTTTTTATTACTTCTGTTTACGTCTTTTTTTGTAATACAAGACGTATGACCCTCCAACATCATGTCTGTTTTTAACTTAACTTCTTCATTAAGTTTTCTCTTCTCCTTCCAGTTTAATTTAACTGATCACAACCACTACAAAGTCCGGAAATGATGTAAAGACCACTTTAGTCCTTGATCGATATTTCCTTAATTAGTTCTCTGACTGTAATCTATGGTAATTCAATGCCATTTGGTCATCGAATCTCCGATAAAGACTAAATATATTTGTCATTTCTTGTAAAATTTGGTTTGCTTGAGTTTATACATTCAGCTCAATTGCCTAGAAGTTTCGCCTTATCATATATCCATTTGTATTATTCGGAAGTTGAGTTGTTTTTGTGTTAAAGCCTGCAATTGCATTACGTTTCTGAGGTAATTTTTTTCTCACGAAACACTGCGATTTGATAAGTAAATTTTCTCCGACTGTGCATCCTGGACCGCCTCGTTCGACGTTAATGCGAACAGCTGACTCCTATTGATAGGCAATATACTGATTCGTCTTGCCAATAATCATCGTGCTATATACACGTATTCAATTATAAAGCTAATATTTAAAAAGTTGTATGTGGACGGGGAAAATATTCGGGAAAAATGTAATCTAATCTACTGACGAGAATTTCGAAATTCTTCGTCACACCTTTGGTGAACATTCTTCAGGTCAAATGCAGGCTATTGACTATAACGCGTGTGTCAAGGCCAGTCGAGTGTCAGTTTAAAATGATGAGCTGTCAATGTGACCCTTGATTAGTAAAATTGTCACAAAAGTAGAAATAATCCGTGAAGATATCAAGCAGAACTATCATCAATCACCCGGAATCATTTACAGAGCATACTAGATCAAATTCCCGGATCATTACAATTCCAACGATTATTGTGTTTGGAAATTCCATTTTGGTTGTAATTCTTAACTCCCTAAAAGCTTTTACAACAATGAAAGAATTGTGAGGTATGCACCCATATATTAAGTATTGGTTAAAGGATGTTTAATGACTTGTCGACATTAAACGATTTCTCTTTGGTCTGAACGTTGAAAAGTGTGTGTCATAATACACAATTCTATTCTTAATATACTTGTGACAAATCGTTTTAGAAAATAACTAAATTCATTCTTTGATTTTTCCTGCAAATATTTTATTTCCTATTTTTCAAGTATATCTAGCATCCGGCTTTATTAAGTCGTAAGTTAACGTTTACTTTTTTAATAAAAATAGCACAGAAAAAAAATGGAAGTCATTCAAAATATCTCCGGGTTGGGGTGTGTAAATGACCTGAAAAGATCCTGTTTACTTTTATCATAGAATTCTACTTACACTGATATCTGATAAGGTGGAATCTTAAGATTGAAGATGATGCCTCTTAAATTCGAGATGGCAGACCATTTTAAAACCAACAATCAACTTGATTGTACTTCCTTTTTAAATATTGGGTTGGTCTGAAAACCGATTTGGTTTCGTTGGTAATAACGACACGAGGAACGTTTAATATTTACTGACTTCATTCAAAAAGAATATTTTTTTATTTTATTTTTACAAATCTCACAATGAATAGTATGTGAGTCATTAATTGAAAATGTTATCACACGGGGAGAGAATTACTAAGAGATGGAAGGATTAAAATAAGTATCCATTCACAATATTATCGTTTCTTTGGTAATTACAGATTTTAGTCCGCATTAGTACATCATTTCAGGTGTTACTGATGAGAATGCGAAGAAAAATCCAAAGTTTATGATGTAGCAGTCTTGATCATTTCATAGGTTTCTCATAAATGTTTTTGATAATCTTTGCAACATCATTGCAGAGAGCTACGCACCGTTTGTATGTACGATGATTGTAGATGAATTAATGATTTAAGGATGTGGAAGTGGTAAAAGGGACCGTGAAAAAGACCCTGGAGACCTTCACACTCGAGAAGTCCGAGTTCATTAAGAAGTAGATGGGTTCTATAACTAGAGCATTTAAATCGGGGGGTCTTGCTTTAAAGGAGATTAGAATTTCCTGTTTATATTGAAATACATAAAAATACTCAAAACTGGAATGTTT